GGAAGGAGGGACATCTAGACTAGAGAGATAGATTCCCACTGAAGCAATGAGTCGATAGTACTATGGACTCATTGCTGACAATTTGTCACTAGTGCTTTGAATCCTACTAATTGTAGGATCATGATTGTCTATTGTTGATAACAAACATAATGCTTGATGTCCCAAGAACATCCAGTAAATTCCAACAGTAAACTCGTAATTTGTCATGGGCGACTGAGGGGCTTTTCGGAGCATAAGATGTTCGTGAGGAATCATATCCGAGTTCTTAGTTCCATCATTCATCATATAAGTTACATCACTTCGACTGAAAGCTCGAGGGTTTTCTACTCGGGGCTTGATCCACTGGCTGCGTTCTGATCATGCACACCATTTTTCGAGCCATCACTGAGCATAGCGTTCTCGGAGTGCTCAGAATTGATGTAACCAGGCAAGCACATAGTCACGCGACCAATGCCAACGGCCTCCATTTCTGAACGGAGACTGTCGAAATACCTGATGAAATAACAATGCATCGGTACCCTTTAATGCAATGCCTTACCCGAGCTGAGCGTGCTTGGCTGCTGCGTACGCGGAACGACCACCCTGACCAAATTTCCCCTGGACGCTAGAGACCTGCAAAGATATTGCCTTAGTTGAATTAAGTTCAAGTGGGCTCACCTGTACCAAGTGAGGAGGAAACTTCCGACACTTAGCCGTTTCATACCATTTTGGGAGTAAACCTTTGACGATAGCAACTTGACCGAAGAAATTCACTTGCATATGCTCACGAAGCACCTAGGAGGTCAAGGGTAGAGTCCTCGGGAAATCTCGGCTCTCTGAGTGACTGATGGATACCTCCATTGATGTGTCTAGGGCTGTCCCACGATAGCCAACTCCGGCACAGTTGAACAGGACGTCGACTCCTTCATCTGATGGGACTAGATCAAGTTCAGCGTGCTCAGAAAGGGGTGTACCTCCACAAAGCGACGTGACGGTCGCAGCAATGGCTGATAGCTGCTCATCAGAGGATCCAGCCAAGTCTACTGGTATGGTCTCGACGGCCACCTAGAAAGAGGCACCACTGTACTGAAGTAAACCGACACCGAGATCCACGTCGAAGTGGATTCATGAGAGTATAAGCAGCCGTTGAAAAGAAGCCGGCCTCGCCTAGTATAACGATAAGCCAGTAGTACTACCGCGGGATTCACAGCAGCCGCTAACTCCTTCAATGCCTCTAGCCTCGCCTTCCGTCGAGCACTCACCACCAACACACTAAAGCAACCAAGATCATGCCTTGCACACTGCTCTGGTCTACCGTGGCTTCGCGCTCTTTATCAAGTGTGTCGCTA